AGGAAGAAGAAGAAACAGATGTCACATGTCTTCTCTCTATGCAGAATTAGTGTAAAACACATGTGAAGAAATGAAAGTGTAAAACAATACTGAAAATGTATATAGGCTTGAGTTGCAATTTGTTGATGTCTGTGGGTTTACCTAGTTCATTTTTCTGCTACCAATAAATAATGTTTTTAAAATTCCAGTGAGTATTGAAATAGGTCCCAGTACCTGCCTATCTCCATCCCAAGATGGGAACACAAGGATTAGTTGGATATGTATTAACACATAATGGTGCACCTGAATATTGTGGTTAGCTGTCTGAACACCTGCCCACTTGGGCTGCCCAGTACAGAGAGCTGAAACTATAGGCAAGAAGATGTAGAATCAGTTTAATTCATACTGTGATACCTTGTTGCTTCAAGAGTGTTCCTTCCGGACATGTAGAAGGGCCGATCTGTGTTATACTCATCAAATACTCCCCACCGGAGATGGGCCCACTCATGAACAAAGACTCTGCCTGAAAGAGAAAATTGTCATCTATAAAGCTGTAGTTACAATATTTGAACACAGTTTCCCTTTATTTTCAGTCATTTTGTTCATTTGCAAAATTGAAATTGTTACAAACTTTAGAAATTTATACTTTTTAATAGCTTAAAAATTCAAATATGCTAGTTACAACAAGTGACCCAAATATGTGGAATGTAACTACCATATTTTTAAACAAAGGTATTACTTAATGTTTACTTTTCTTAAAGTCTTAGAAATCCACATTAATAGTGATGGTTTGCTTTTCCCCAGTAGAAATAAGAAGTACAATATATATATATATTTCTACCTCGGGGTCCATACATAGGCAAATTATCCGTCAGTAGGAAGTTTGGAGTAAAATGTATGTACTGTCCTCTGTCTCCACATTGTCCGTATTGAAGTGTGTAGGGATCATCTCTATTTTTCAGATAAGGATCAGCAACTATGACATCTGCCTAAAATGCAGAAGAACAAACCCAGTCAGATTACAAGGGCGTTAGAAATGAGATTTTACAAAAAAGAACTGTTTCATCTAAACTGATAAAAGTTGAGGCCGAGTAGAGGGCTCAGTGTGTGGTGATATTTTATTTGTGCTGAAATGTGGTGATATTTTATTTGTATGTTAATAAATAAAGTTTGCCCGGAGATCAGAGGAAATAGCAAGCCATTAACACAAGTCAGGCAGGGATAGCACACTTCCTTAATCTGATCACTTGGCAGGTAGGGTCTCTGGTGTTCAAGGACACACTAGGGAACAGCCAAGCGTGGTGACACACACCTTTAATCCCAGTACCAACCAAAGAAACCTGGGGGTCTGTAGAGACAGGCAGTAGGTTGCTGGACTAAGAGCCAATGAGAGGGCAGAACTGCAAGGCAATAAAGGCACGGGTAGACAGGAAGTAGCTCACTTTTTTGGAAGATGCAGAGATGGGAAGTGGAAAGTTGAGTCAGGAGACGCCAGCCCGCCATCCAGGAGCAGCATGTAATGGCACACAGGTAAAGCCAAGGAACATGTGGTGACATATAGGTGAACAGAGATGGGCTGAGTTTAAGTGCAAGAGCTAGTCAGTGGTTAGCCTGAGCTAATGGCCGAGCAGTTTTAATTAATAGAAGCCTCTGTGTGTTTACTTGGGGGATGTGAGTGGGAAAGTTGTGTCCTGACTGCAGGCAAGGACACAGCAAAACTTCAGCTACATCAGTGGGTTAAGTGCTTTCTGTTTATGAACAAGGACCAGAGTTCAGTCCCAACACCCACTTAAAAGCTGGGTATGGTAACCCATGTCTGTAACCCCAGTAGTGAGGTGGTAGAGACAGGCGGACCACTAGAGATTGTTCTCCAGTCAGTCTAGCCAAATTGATGACTCTCAGATTCAGTAACACACCCTGTCTCAAAAAATAAAAGGTCAAAAGCAAACAGAGGAAGACACCAAATATTGACCTCTGACTCCTACCTGAGCATGTGCACATACACACACACCCTACGTACTGTGATTAGAATTTTAGATGGTCTTGTAATAAAAAACCCAGAGCCAGATATCAGGGTGAAAGCTGAGAGATCAGAGAAACAATTCAAGCCACAGCCAACCTCACCTCGCCAACCTTCAGCCAATCTTGTTTTCTCAGACTGGAAGCCTCTGAGTCCTCACTGAATCTCAGCTGAACTGTCTTTTCCTTATCTCCTCATGCCTTATATACCTTTCTCTGCCTGTCCATGAAACTTCCTGGGATTTAAGGTGTGTGTGTTTCCCAGTACTGGGTTTAAGGGTGTGTGCCACCACTGCCTGACCTCTATGTCTAATCTAGTGGCTGGCTCTGTTCTCTGATCCTCAGGCAAGTTGATTAGGGTACACAGTATATCACCACAACACACACACACACACACACACACACACACACACACACACACACACACACACACTGTATATGTATATATATATAAATATACATGTATACACACAACATACACATACTACACACTATATACACATGCACATACATAGCATGCACACTATACACACACACAGAGGCAGGTGTATATCCACACATACATACACACACACACACAGAGGCAGGTGTATATCCACACATACATATGCCCAAAGTTGTGGACATGTATACATAGTTCACACACATGTATACACACATACACAAACAACAAAAGAAAAGTTATATTACTAATTACTCACTTAATGATTAATAATTATCAAACTTTTTAAGTATTCACTTGGAAAAGGCACAAGAAACAATTTAGGGGATGGATGTGACACTTACTTTGCCATATGATTCTTGTTTTGGCATTAAGTACTCAGATTTTGACTTCCAGGTCATTGGGACTAAAATGCTTACTTTCCTGAAATAAAATCTTCCTTTGCTGGCTTCAAACAGGTAAGTAGAGGCTTGAGTTACCATTTCCTGATGAAATTAAAAGTGCATTGTGGTAAGAAATTCAAAATAAAATGAGCATGAACATCAGTACCCAAAACAGAAGAAACAAAGGAGGGCTCCTCTCCCTCAATATGTTTGCACAGGGTAACTGAAGAAATGGTATACATTTACTGAATCTCTCCAATCTATCAACTCACTTCCATATGCCCAAAGTAAACTCTGATGTTCACTTGCCCACCCCTCCAGTTGGCGCTTAGGATGGAGATGGGCATGAAGTCTCTGGGTGAAGTATGAAAGTGATTATGATCAGAAGTCTGAAGGCAAATTTATTTAAGCAGTTTTCTTAAAATTGGGTTGTTTAAACAAACTGGGAGATTAAGGTCTGGTAACCTTTGTATTTGATGTTAATTAGAATTGTTTTTGTTTTATTTGCAGTAATCACCTAAGTGGATTGTATACATGAAAGACCAGACTCTAAAAACATAGTTTTTGAAAGCTTCATACACAAATATGAATCTACATAACTCCCCTCCTTATTACCCCCATCTCCTCCCATAATCTCCATTCTCCTTATCAAATTCATGATCTCATCTTTAATTATTATTGTTACATATATGTATACATTTCTACATATACATCTGTATATATATCCTACTGAGCCATTCTAGCATTGCCCAAGGGCTAATAATAAAGATAAATAAGACTAAATTTTTTCAGCTTGCTACTTGCTATGATCCAACAAACCAATCCATTTATAGAGGAATAAAACCCTGTGATCCTAACCATATGGAGATTTTGAGAGGATCTGAGAACAAAGTACATATTACACAAATGGTTTTATTATACAAATGCAATTAGAAATAAACCAACTTCAAACGTGTCTAAGGTTTTCTTTAAGGTAAGATAGATAAGAATTTTAGGTTTTCCAAATTGAGCATGTGGGAGTAACTGGAGAAATGTGTCAGACAATAAACTGTTAGAGTTTAAGTGTACATTTGCTGTATAGGTTTTGTAAAAGCAACATCATTAAGATAAAATATGAGAACATTTCTCCACTTGCTCTGAAGTCTATTACCTTAAGTTTAATTAACTTATTAAGAGCTTGAAGAGTAGTTTTAATGTATAATAAAAATATAAAGCTAAGCATCTTGACTTGTAGATTATACTGCAGACATGATAAATGCAATCAAAGCAGTTTTGGGAGGGTATAACTCTCTCTCTTTCTCTGTGTGTTTAAATACCTAGGTAAAAAGAATTATTGACATGCTAATACGCAGATAATGAAACCCTTCTTACCTTTATGCTTTTGATGAGTCTCTCATCTTCTGACACACTGGGGTTAATTGCAATGACCACACCCTCATATCCATTGTTGTTCAGATGGACCATGGAGCTTTTCACCTCCTGCAAGAGATGCAGGCTGAGGAACAGAAGGACCTTAAGACCTGGCACCATGTTTTCACATGCTAAGTGAGGGAGCTACGAAAGGAAAGGAGGGTTTTTATGTGTCTGCCTCACTCAGGGATTTGGATCAAGACCAGAATATTTACATGTATTTGGTAGAGAGAAATGCTGATATCTCTTGGTGACCTTCCTTATCCAATCTAAAGACTTAATTGTTAAGTGACATGGGTATTGTGGTGAATACAATTATTGTAGCTTCTAAGACAATAGACAGTGTGGAACTGCTAAAAAGTTTTGTGAGTTAAGTTCTGTTTGCATGAGTTTATTTAGTACAACTGCAAGTCTTCCAGTGCGGAATAGAGTCCCTAAACCTGCCAAAGACTACTAGAAAAACCGGTACTGGGAGGGAAGCCATGGCTTTTTGGCATGTTCCTATCTCCAACTGTTGACAATATCCCACTTTGCCAGCCCAGGCTTGCTGCAGTCTTTCCTGTAAAAACTTCCCATGTTATCTGGAGCATTTTAGTGTTTTTTCAGCTTCCCTGAGTCATTGTAATTTTTTTTTGTTTTTGAAAGGTTCTACATTTTATTATTGGAAAAACCACACCACCAATTGAAACATGACCAAGTCTCTAGGTTAAAAATGGTCACCTCCATCTGGTAGGATTGATCAATGACCATGATCCAGTATAAACCCTCAGTATTGCAATTGTGTGAATCCTTACAGACCCAGCTTCATTTTCCGGTGTCTTCTCTTGGAGTCATACCTGATTTTGTTACCAGTTTTCATCCGAATCCATTGAGGAATAGAACGATTTTGCTTTTGTTTCTTGGCTGGGAATTGCTTGAGTCTGAAAGTCTTGTGAGCAGACATGGCAAGAAACCAGGTCAAGTGTAGGGCACACGATGGTGGAAGAAAGAAGAGCTTGCTATTGTATTCTGTCTCTGTTGAATCACTCAGCTTCACCAACATAATGTATCTTCTTATTAGATTTTCGATTCTCTTGTTAGCAAGAGATTGTTTTTCTGAGTTTAACTTCTTCCCCAGGCTCAGTTTCCCTACTTTGAACAAGAACACGGAGGTCTTCTAAAAAGAATGCTGTAAAGATTAAATGGAATAGCATGTGAAGCTGGGTTTGGTGCCATATACTGTTGGGTTACAGGTGGGGTAAACCGTGTATCTTAAAGCCAGGAACAACAGAAAGAAAAAAGATAAGTTTCCTAGGGCTATCTATCCACTATCAAGTGGTCATCCCTGAAATCATATACATATAAGCAACACCTAATGGGCCAAGCAGATTATATTATATATCTAGGTATGTGTATGTATACATTAATAACAAAGGAAAAAGCCATGATGTTGAGAGGGAGCAAGGAGTACATTTAATTAAAAATATATTTATATATAAAGAAAAAGAAACTCATATATAAAATCAGTTTTTGTAAGTTCTGTGCAAACAAAGTCCTGAACCCAGCAATAAATATTTGTTGGTTGTTTTTCCTCATTCCTCTTTATTATTGTGAAAAAGGATGAGTGTTTCTTTGTGTCCTGTGCCCCATGCCAGCGATCTGCTCTTCAGCAATACAGAACTGAGTAATGTAGGCAGGCACTGGCTCCAAAGAACTTGGAGACTTGTTATGTGGGTTGGATTGGAATACAATAAGAAATGAAAAATGGAGCAAGCAAACTTCAATAAAGGAATTATATTACACCACTTGGGAGCCCAGGAGTGGAAAAGTTTTCAGGATGAAGGGAATCAGAAAGCCTTTGGGAGGAGGTCGTTCTTTGGAAAATAGAAGCGTGGAGAAGTTCATTTGCCCCGAGGAAGTCTCAGAAGTGGGGAAAACTGGTATTTGACTTCAGGGAGTTCCACCATAGGGTCTGCATATTTAAAATATATGTTACATATCCTACTTTTCAGAAGTTAGATCAGAGGAATTCATCTTGAAAATCATTCCGAGTAGTTTTGTTGTTTGTTTGCTTCCATTTAAACGAAGATTCAAGAGAATGTGGATCACTAGAATCTATTTTGCCTGAGAAAAAAAGACTTACAGTTTTGTTTAAATATTGGGCCAAATAATGGACTTTCTTAGGCAGGCTTGCCTTAAAAATTTCAGTTGTATAAATCTTTCAGGACTGAACTATTAATTTTGGCAATTTGAAGGAAGAAACCTTTCAATGTCATTCTTCAGCAGAATCTGAACTCAAAAGTGGACAACAAATGAAAGACCTTGTTATAGCTTTCTGGAAGTGATATCTCTGTCTGTGTCTGTGACTTCACATTCTCTCCTGGATGCTTATTTCTGAAATGTCCTGTCTTCCATGGAGAGACATAACATTGAGGGTTCAAGTACAGAAGTGATAACACATCAGGTCTGTACCTCTTTTTTTCCCCTGGCCTCTGTCACCCTCTTTCCTTCCTTTTTCTTTCCTGATTTTTTTTTTTAGGCAATCTTTCCTATAGCCGAGATTGATCTCTAATTTGCTATGTAGCTCAGTATATCTTTGAACTCCTGATCTTCCCTCCTCCATTTCCCAAGTGTTGGATTACTGGTGAGCACCACTATGCCCAGCAGGTCCATCTTCCAAATGGCCAAGTGAAAATGAATTATTAGTATTTTCCAGTCATAATCAAATCCACTCATTGAGAATTTAGTCTTATTTTAATGAATACCTTTCGTACTCAAATTTTTTGGGTCCCTTTTTGGTTCTTTGTGAAGCCTGCTTGCTGTTATTTTGTTTGTTTGTTTGTTTAATTGAGTCTCCTGTTGTAACAGGTAATTTTAACTGATATTAACCTGGGCTAAGGGATGCCCAGGTAACTGTTGGAATGCTGTTCTTGGGGATGTATGTGAGGCTGCTTCTGGAAGAGGTTAGCATTTGCATCAGTAGTACAGAGTGAAGATTATCTTCCCTCATCAAATGTCTTGAGAACCATGAAGAACACAAATGCAGAGAAAATGGACTAGAGTGATGGTTCAGCAGTTAAGAGCACATACTGCTCTTGCTAAGGACCTGGGTTCAGTTCCCAGCATACATGTCAGACACTCCTATCCATTTGTAACCCTAGCTTCAGGGAATCCAATGCCTCTGGCCTCCTTGGGCACATGACTTATATGCACACACCCCCACACAGACATAAACACATGCATATAATTAAAATTAATAAAAAGAAAATTTAAAAATGCAGAGATAGGGCAATCCATTCTGGCTGGAATGGAGACACTCATTTTCTCTGTGAAAGAAATGTTGTGGAATAATGGAAGTACTAAATCAGATAACCTAGGAAAAACACTTCAAGCAGGACTTTGACACTTAAAAAAACCTTAAGAAGCATTATACATTATTATTAAGTATCATATGCTATTGTAAGTATGAATGTTGGCACAAAACTTTTGCTAATTAAAAATGGTTTTCATGGCTTTATTTTGTGAAACTGTAAATCGAGTCTTCCAGTATTTACTCGGGGAGTGGAAAGTCCCTGAGCCTGCCTGAGAATATGGGAAGAACCCGCTACTGCATCGAAACCACAGCTTTTCTGCATGTTCCTATCTTCAGCCATTGGGAGTGGCCCACGCTTGCCAGTCCGGGCTTGGTGAAGCCTCATCTGTAAGATCTTCCCACAACATCTTCATTAGAGCGGTTTCTCTTGCAGTCTAGTTGAGGCACTGTTGTACCTCTCCTGTTTGTCTTGGGCTGATTTGGACAAACATATCACCTGAATAACTCACACACACTATTACTGGCAAAAAAGTTTCCTCCCCCGCACCCACAACTTTAACCTCTCTCATTCTCTATTTCTTTAGCTGTAAGATGAGGAGAACAGTATCTTTCTAAAAGGAATGTTGCAAAAGTTAAATAAAAAATGCATGAAGCATTTTGTGACCTCCATTACTGGGTTATGTGTGTTTTGAGACCATCTCAAAAAAAGCCAAAACCAGCATAAAAAATTAATAGCTAAATGAATGAATGAAAAGAAAAAGAAATGCAAAGAGCATTCTTGACAGCATGTGTCCCTTAAACACCAGTAAATCTTGGTGCTTTTCACCCATACAGAAGATAAGCTTGGTTCTCTGCGTTCTGTGCTCCTTCCCAATGCTCTGTATGAGACAGAACGGAGTCAATGTGGACATTGCCTCTATAGCACATGAAGACTTGTTTCATGGGTAATTGGAGTAAAATAACATTCAAAATACAAAGTAGAGTGAGAAAAGTTCTGTAGAGAGTTATAGCATAGCACCAGGGAACCCAGAGTCAGAGAGCAATTTCTCAAGGGGAAGAAAGCCAGGAAGAAGGCTTTGGGGCGGAAACTGAAGCCCAAGGGAGGGAGTATGTCGCATGGTAGGTTACAGCTGCTCACAGGGCAGTCTTGAGTTTCTTCTCAGGCCATTCAGCTTTGGTTTAATTTTCTTCTTCAAGGCAGGGTCTCATTAAGTAGTCCTGACTGTTCTGGAACTCAGCAGAGACCTGCCTGCCTCAGCCTCTAGAGGGCTGGCATTAAAGGCTTGTGTCATTATACCTGAGTCTTCAGTCTATCTGAAAATGATATATAACACAGCATATGTTTCAAAAGGACAAACGGAGAAGATTGACCTTGGAAATCTTTTTCGAATAGTTCCTTTGATTTTCATTTAAACAGTAGTTCTCAGTCAACGATTCAAGAGAATGTGGACTGCTTTGATAGATTCTGTACTAGAAAAAGACTCTCTGTCTTATTAAATATTAGGCAATACTCATCTGCCACTAGGCTTTTGGCATGGTTTGAATATGGCTTATTTTCTCTAAAACCCATCTTGAAATTATGCTGAGAAGGGATTTGCTGTGACTAGAAAGCTTTTGCCTGGAGTCCTTCTTATGGGAATTGATTAGTACTGTGAGGGTGGACTATCACAAAGTGAGTGTGGTTCTCATCTTCTGTGTCTCCTACAGGCTCAGGCTTGTCCTTGATCTGCATCAGGAGCTGAGGCTTCATGGGGCCCTTGCCAGAGGCTGCCTCCCAGACCACTTCCCTTAATATGTTACCTGTTCAGAAGTGTTCTGTGTCACAGAAAACTGATCAATACAACAAAGTCATTTGCCTACTTATGCATTTTGCCTGTTTTTCTTTTGCTTTCTAATAAAAAAACACAGAGAACATATAATAATGCCTTATCAGATTTAAAAAGTTTTCTTTTTGGAGACAGGATCTTGCAGTGTAGCTCAGGCTAGCCCAAAACTGGGCTCTGTAGTTTAGGCTAACCTATAACCCTTCTACCATGATACCTAATTGCTGAAATCACAGTCATATACCACCATATCTAGCCAGGTTTTTCTTTTTCTTTTTTACTTTGATTTTTTCGAGATAGGGTTTCTCTGTGTAGTTTTGGTGCCTGTCCTGGATCTTGCTCTGCAGACCAGGCTGGCCTCGAACTCACAGAGATCCACCTTGCTCTGCCTCCTGTGTGCTGGGATTAAAGGCGTACACCATCGCTGCCTGGCCTAGCCAGGTTTTTCTTAAAAGATTTTAGTAATCCCAAGGCTGTCTAGATATTTCTTTCATTTTAAAGATTAGTTTTAAAATTTACCTTTTAAATTGGAGGATTTTCCTAATTTGGATTCACCCATGTGTGCACTGCCTACAGAATACTACTTTTTTTTTTGCCTGTGTATTGAATTAGTTTCCCAATGCTCTATGGAAATTAGTCTTTCTTTCTTCCTTCCTTCCTTCCTTTCTTTCTTTTTGGCTGATATACACTGCAAACAGACATCATTTTCTCTTTCTGAGATTTACATTGTTTCTCTGTGCATTTATTTGTATAAAATTACATATTATATTTAGTGTAATAGCTTTTTCTATATTAATATTTGGAAAATGAGTTGTTCACTTTAACTCATACTCTTCAAAGTTAGATTTTAAGAAAATACTCTGATTTATATAGAGCAACTTAGTTGATTTTAATTGACTCAGATACAAAATTTACAACATTGAACATCCACTTTTATGTTACAAAGATTGTTTAGTAGACAACAGGATAGTAAATTAATTCTAAATAAGATGGAATTTTAGTTCTACTACAATTTCCAGTTTAAATATGAATAAAGTTGCAACAAATAGAAAAATTGTCAAACTGGGTGTGGGCATTTTGGTACCGAAACCAGGAATAAACTTGACAGCCTCGGCAATGTTGGAGACCTCTGATCTGAGGTGGGCTTCATTGATGGCCTGAATCCCAATGTAGAGCTTGCCACCATTTTCAATTTTTTCCGGTTTGAATTTAAAATTTTCTTTTGAGCCAGCCTCTTTAGGAATCAGAGAATGAGTTTTCACTGAAGTAGCCTTGTTAAAATCTTCTTTTATATCCCAAGAATGCTTACCCATTCTGATGTCGTATCTTTGCGCTGGAAAAAAGAGACGTGTTCATTAGAGTTGTGATGACTGTTCTCGACACTGCACTGCGCCTGCGTAGGAGTTACCAGCCTTGCATGCGGCGCTTTAGTGATGGAGAGCCCAGGTACAGTTTGTATCTGGTTATCTCATCTCACCGATTTTAAAGACAAGTATATGAACAGTTATTTTAAAAAATGTCCAGTTACAAAAATCACAGAAAAGATAATTCAGTATCGGTCATACCAGCCCGCCACCCAGAGTCCGGGTTTCTTTTTAGAAGGACGTAGAAAGAGCTGAACTCAGTTTTAAGTTAGAACAAGGAATGCATAATGTTCATGTGCGGTAAAGACCGTGAGTATCTTCTGTGACTTTTTATTCAGTTGAAAGAAGGAGTAAGGGGGTGGGGGTGGGGCACTCAGTGAGAGACCAGAGGACAGATGAGGATGAGTCAAAGGCACAGAAGCCGGATGAGCACTAATTACACTAATGTGCTCAGGACCTGGTGCGGCCTCGACCCGCATCTTGAGTTTCCTCCTGTCATCCTTCTCGTCTCCATTTTTAAAAGTGTAAAACGGAGACTTAGTCATTTGATTAATTCAGCAGAAAGTTTTTGACTGCTGATATTCTGAAGTGAGGTTTGTAAATGATAACGAATGAAAAGTGTTTAGAACAATTTAGTAAGTATTTAATTAACGGGTGACTGGAATGTTAGCTGCTGGAAAGGAAAGGCGGATACCTACGTGAGTACTGAATTTCACACTGACTTTAGAAATCTAACAGAGAAAGTGACATAAACTAGCTTATAAATTGTGAATATAAATTATTTGTAGCTCTTATTTAGCATAAACACTTTATTTTTTATATTTTTAGATATTGTAGAATCTGCTTAAAATATGTGGTAAGTTCGATTTTTTTATCCCTTAATTATGTTTAGCATTTAGTTTCTCCACTGATAAGTCTTATCCATTCAACTATTCTTCACACAAACATTGTTTTTTATTTAGGTTGATCTGTCTATCTATCATCTATCTGTAGTTATCTCTTTACCTATGTGTATTTCATACTTAATTGATTTCTAAGAGTAGACCTTGTTCCAGAGAACCCAATAATGTTCAATACTGAACAATAATTGAACAAAATTGAGCACAGACAGAAATGCTTAGAAAATTGCCCTTGTTTACACTAAAGAACCCAACAGAATGGTGTTACTTCTTCTCATTTAATTTAAAAATAGTTCAAACTAAAAGCAACAATTTGATAACAAAAATCTGAAAAAACTGTATTAGAATTTTAAATTATTAAAACATGAATAATTTGATTCAACTTGTATCTTTTTGTGTTCAAGTTTTTGTATTTGAAAGTATGTGGTGGTATTTTACTTGTACTGAAATGTGATTTTAATTGTATGTTAATAAATAAAGTTGCCTGGGGGTCAGAGCTATTAGAGCCATAGCAAGTGCGTGGCGGCAGTGGCACACGCCTTTAAGGACCTGGAGGGCGGTACATACAGGCAGTGGCGAGGCAGTCACATGTTTGGGTTTACAACCAATGAGAAGGCAGAACAGAAAGACTATAAAGACATACACACAGGAAGTAGGTCCCTTTTTGGAGAGCTCTCTTGACTGAAGAGGATCGCTGAAGCAGGAAGGGTGAGGCTCTTAGCTCTGACCTCTTGGCTTTCTTCTCTGAATCAGCTCTGTGTTTCTTATTTAATAAGACGGTTGGTTACATCTACAAAAGTAGGTGAACAATGAGCTATTGTAGCCACTCCATAAATAATACCCATAAAGAAGACTTTGGAGAAGTTTTAGCAAATGAAAGATAATGGGCTTTCTTTTAGAATGTTTTAAAACTCAGCATCCAGATTACCTTTTCCTTTGTCTAGGATCCTGCCAGGGGCGGTCCATGTAAGGTGAAGATGATCTCCCTCAAACTGGGCTTCCAGATCTGTCACTTTACTGGATGGGAACCCAGGAGGGGTATGTCACCACCAGGATGTGTTCCAGACACAGTGAAGGGCCCTCCAGTGATTTCTCTGCCTACCACAGTAGTGTCTTTGTCTTCTGGATACTCAGGTTCAGATGGATTCCATATAATTTCACCTACACCCCCCGCAAAAAAAAATGTAACTTTCTATGTTTTCATGTCTGTTCTTGTAGGTTGATCTTGAAGCTACTCAGTGCTGATGTTGATTAGCAGCAGATATTGAAAAGTACAACGTTTAGTGAAAAAAAAATCTTGTTTTAACGGAATTTTGAAATGGATGAGGGGACGTTAAATTTTAGTTAAACTATATCTAACACTTGCCTGTAAATTTTTTGAGGACACAAGTTGTTTCATCCCTATTTACAGCTCCAGCATCTAGCACAGAGCCTCCATCATAAAGATGCTTAGTGAGCTTTATCGATGTAAATGGAATGATGACTTGAAGGGGTATTAACAAAATATGCAGAAATATGGTCTACGAATCCACTGACCTGAGTTTGACCTTGAAACATTCAGATGATTACAAGGAATTACATGCCTGGATTTTCAGTAGTCTATTAGGATTTTTGATGTTTGTTGTATTCATTAGACCTAAAAGCACACATATTTCTGTTTGAAAGTTACTTACCATTTTCAACATAGCCAGGTACATATAGAGCCTTGTTTGGTTGTTTTAAATTTACTTTAGTGAAGGTTTTTCTTGCCTGGGCCCTGACTTTTAAGCTGTATCTCCCATTTCCATGGTACTCTGCAAAATATCTTGAGTAGATGCCATCATTTTTGAGTGTATCAGCACCTTGGCAATGGAATGTAAGAATTAGTCATCTAGTTAGAAAAACTAGTCACAGTTGTGACTGTGAGCACAGGTGATGTCAGTGATTTCACAGATAAGATAGCACAGTTTCAAGTACATGAATCCTAGAGTCACACCGTTTTGCTTCAAAGCTTGTCTTGGTCACGTTATGACCCATAGTGTTGGAGTAATTCACAGTAGGTGTTCAGTCCTTTTGTGGTGCACATTTGATTAGTAATAGCTGTTCTTATTTCTTATAAGAAACTTACCAAGATAAGAAAATATAGAGAAAACTAAATACGTTAAAACTGACAATGGAGATGGAGAAGAACTGTACTCAACTTCCTTCCATGGTTCAAGTAAAACTGCTCACCAACTTTGAAGATGATGATGAAGATGATGATGGTGTTTACATCTGTGCAGAGGTTTGACACATTACAACTAGATTCCATTCACTTTGAAATACAGTTCTTAAGCCTACAGAGGAAGCATTGAGATAGAGTCCAGAAAGAGAATTTTAAATTCAATGCTGTCAACGCGGGTTCCCATTACCTGCTCCATTGTCCCAGAGCTCCAGTGTGACTTGATGTCCATCTTCAGCTTCTATAGTGGCTGTGACATTGGCTCCCAGAACAGGCAGAAACCCTTGGCTGACTCGTGCATAAACAATCATTGGTCTAGTGTACCGTGCTGTGTTTTGACTCATGTGAGCAGTTACGATTACTGGGGGTGTGGTAGGGCTTCTTGCTCGAGTGGTCACCGTCACTGTTAGCAACTGAGATTCATTAGCCTTATTGAAGAGGCTGTAGGTCCAAGTCCCTGTCTGAAACAAAACATATTTTAATTGCTTTGGTAGTGTTTTCTTATTCTGTGCTTAGGATATATATTTACCTAGAAATGTAAAAAGAAGAATAATGGTTACTTGTTTGATGAGGAGGAGGGAGCAGGGCCTCCTGCAAGCTAAGCTAGTTCACCACTCAGACACTCCCTCTGCCTAAGTAATGATTTTTTTTTTTTTTTTTTTTTTTTTTTTTTTGGTTTTTCGAGACAGGGTTTCTCTGTGTAGCTTTGTGGCTTTTCCTGGAACTCACTTGGTAGCCCAGGCTGGCCTCCAACTCCCATGTTTGGACTTCCCAATTTTATGCAAGAGCAAATGGAAACCTAGAGGCTCAAAATGCTTTGCCTGAAAGGCCTGACTACCCGTTCAGGGCTCATTCCATCGTGGAGTGTTTCTGTCAGGTCCCAGCGCATCCTAAGCCTTGTGTGGCTACTGCAGTAATCGCCCAGATGGACTTCCTGACACTTATTAGTTCCATAAGTATTAATGAATACCATATTTTAAGCAATCGTTTCTCCTCTGTAACCTATTTTTTTCAGCTTCTTACATGTAGGTAATCTCACTTTTCCTTTGTCTCCATTATCTATTTTCATCAATCTTTACTTTGTTCTAAACGGTCAATATTTAATTATCATTGATGTGGTTTTGATCCAACTAGAACATAAGCCATTATCTTCTAAGAACTGGTTTTAATTTCATTTCTATAGTATTGTACTACATTTAGGCTTTGCTAAGATAGCATGCACTTCCTTTTGGTGACTGATTTTCAATCATAAACAATTTTAATTCCTTAAATTTCCCTTTGTTCTTATCACACTTATTTTGAGCAAGGTTTTAGTAATTGTAGAATTCGGCGTGGGACACTACAACACTGAGGACCTTGAAAAGTAATATTTTGTGGAGTATAACTAAACATCTGAAATATATGGTTAAGAAGATCGATGACAGCACAAGTAATTAGGCTTTCCCATTGAAAACTCCCCTTTAGGAGGGCTTCGCTTTTATGCCAATTACGATGTAAATGGCCTTATGGATGCTTTCAGTGGGATTTCATCTAGAAGTGGCAGCATCTCTCAGCAGGCTCTGCAGGTCAGCAAAACCCTTTGTCTCCTCACTTGCAGTAAACTCCCATTATCCTATTTACTCCCTAGTCTTCTCTAACAGATAACTCTCCCTTAAGAACGGGTCTGTTGTATAGAGGAAGCACTTCCTTACTGAATCGGTTCCCATGGCTTACACATGTCTCATCTCCTCCAGTCCTTTATTCCTCATAATATTATTTTACTCTTTATAATTTTTGTAAATTTAATTTTAATAATTTAATTTCTTTCTTACATTTATTTTACTGAAAAAATATTTATTTTAACTGAAATATTTTTTAAATCCAAAATTGAACTGCTAAATTTTAAAATTCCATAGTAAGAACATAGGGGGTTTTGTATGTTTGTTTTTTATTTCTGTAACAGTTGGAAAGCAAAGCCTTGAATATTAAAGGGAAGGAATTGATAACCGGTACAGTATTGGTGGATAGTACCATTGGCAATGACACATTCTTTGTTATCACCTGGACAATACAAAAGCCAGAAATTATTCTTCAAGATCCAAAAGGAAAAAAATATACAACCTCAGATTTCCGAGGTGATGATAAGCTAAATATTTTCTCTGTTCGACTTCAAATACCAGGCATCGCGGAGGTAATCTATTCTTTGGTTTTCATTAATTACCAATTTATATCAGAAAATAAAGGCCCCTTCTGTGTTCTCAATGCTAAAACAGTAACAGATAAGTCATTTTAAAAATCATCTTAATAGAACACATAGGGACTCATACCCATGTTATTAGTTTATAAAATCAGATGTTAAAATCATTACTTAGCCAGGCGGTGGTGGCGCACGCCTTTAATCCCAGCACTCGGGAGGCAGAGCCAGGCTCTTACCTTTTTATCTAACAATCTATTAAATAATTTACTGGAATGAAATATTTTTTAAAATGTATATTTTAATAAATACCAAGTAGAAAATCATCAAAGATTGTCAACGACAGGGGCTTGATTAAATTATTGCATGATATAGTGTTTCCTCCCTCTACTCCTCCCAGTTCCTCCTTATCTCTGGATCTACTCCCTTTTTGTCTCTCATTAGAAAAGAAAGGCTTCTAAAAGACAATAAACATGACAATATAATATATAACAGGATGAACCAAAACTGTCATATTGTCATTGGACAGGGCAACCCAACAGGAGGGAAAGAGTCCCAAGAGCAGGCACAAGTGTCAGAGACACACTCATTCTCACAGTCAGGAGTCCCATAAAAATACTAAGTGAGTAACTATACTATATATGCAGAGGACCTAGTGTAGACCCATGTAAGCCCTGAACTTACTGCTTCAGTAAATATGGCATAATTATTAAAATCTTTCACAGAATCCTTTTTTACATGGGGAGTTTTTAAGGCATATTATGTAAAAGATCAGATTATAATACACACAAAATATAATTACATTTTTGAAGAAGAATGTAGACATGAAGAATAAGAAAAGCATGAAGCGATGTGTTCAGTGGTGGAATCATAGATCGTTTCCATTTTTTCCTTTCCTTACTCTTTTTTGAGAAGAGATCTTGGTAGGTTGGCCACATGGGCCTAAAGCCAATGGACACAAGTGATATTCCTGTCTCAGCCTCCTGAGTAATTAAGATTAGGCAAGCACAATTTCACCTGACTTCATTTTTCTGTGTGTGTGCAATTAAACTTGTCTAGTTAGAACTAAAAGTTATGAGATAAAAATTATCCATAATCTTATAACCTCCACTAACCATCATTTTTTTAATCTCATTGTTCATTGGCATAAACATATGTGTGTTAGTTTATTACAACTAAGATAAAATTAAGTTATATTTCTGTATTTTACTTTAATACTTAATTTGAGAGTGTCAGCAAAAAGTGTCTTACAAATTTCATGCTTCCAGATTTATCTAGCACCAAGCAGACTATCCGCTGTTTGAACCTCAGCAGTGAAAATGCAGGTCTGGGCGGGGCTTCTGTTCCTATCATGGGAGAGGAATTCTGAAAATCAGCAGACTTCTTGATTACGTCCCACGTGCTTCTGTAATTGCACATTTTGTTTTGTTGGTTTGGGGCTTCTGTATTGTGGGTTTTTTCTGTGCAAAATTCAACCACCTTAAAAAAAAAATTCAAACACAATATTGTAAAAACTTGTAGGGGATCACCTTCTTTTCCAAATATGAAGTTAGCTACCTTGTGCATCCTGAACAGGATTTGTCTCCTGACGAGAATAACTTTATAATCAGGTGTTTGGACATACATTTTACATGCCTCTAGTTCAAGTGAGTAATACTATCAACACACACAGCAAACACTTTTTGGAGATTTTAAAGTTAGACCATCAATGAAGAATGGAGGCTGGTCATGTGATTAAGTCACCTTGCTGTTTCCTAATCTAAACATTTGAGGATCTCCCATTCTGAATTATATTTACAGGAAGAGTGTTACAGGTTCTGGTAATTTCTGTCCCCTAAAAGTGGAATAGGAGAGATGGCTGTCCTTTATTGTCAATGCTCCACATCTCCATAGTTGGCCCAGAAACTTGAGGACAGTTACTCTAGCTATTTAGCTTGTTATTAGTGCTGATGAATGACACATATAAACAATACCCTTGAAAGATAATAAAAGTATAAGAGATGTAGACATTTCTCTGAGTGATGAATGGCATCTAATAATTCTGCCAGTAGATGTTTATTACTATAAACCCTGAAAATCCTCTCCAGGAGAGGATTTTGAATGTTCTTACCACAAGAAAGAGCATAAATCTTTAAGGTAATGAATAGGCTATTTAGTCCTATTTCATCATTAGACATTCTGTCTGTCTATTGAAATATCATGTTGTATCCCATAAATTTATTATATGTCAAGTAAAAATTAAAAATAAAAAAGATTGGGCTTACCTAGGGAAAGAGATGACTAGATATTTTGAAAATACATTATCCATTTTAACGTAAAATTTAAGGCTTGTTTTGTACCTACCTTGAATCAAGCACTGAGCTTAAACTTATTTATATTAGACTTTATAAACGTAACAATAACAATGGGAAACAAATATTTCAATTTCATTTTTAAAATAAGCGAACTAAGTATCATATTTAGTAGTGTTCTCTCAGAGACATCTTGAGAATGACAGGGGGGTTTCTATGTCAAGTCCATTGACTAATACATTTGTTGATCCCCATCAAACTATGTATTTAAACCATTATCTCTGTGAACTTTTGTTCTTATGTCTCTCTATTTTATGGAGGCAGGCCATGTATATTTCCCAAATATTATCATTTTATAATGGTTTGGTAAGCTTTAATGAGAAGAAAGTGAAAAATCTACATGTCAGCTGAAAACTCCATTGTAGATTACTTTGGGAGTGATATGAATAAACACTTGGGAGAAACATTAAAGTAAGGTTGTTATTCTGCACACAGGTCCAATAGACATCAGTGAGAGAAGGATTTGAGAAGTTATGTGACTCACTAAGAAGGGTACAGTGCTACATTTGAAGATAACAAACAGCTTCATAAGAAGGGGTAGGATACTATCCAGACACCCTTGACATGGGCTGAATGAGTGATTTTCTTTCTCGTTGTGGAGATGCTTACTATCATAGTAGACATATAGCTTCATCACTTGATACTTCACAAGGATTCTTTCTTGAGTAAATGGAAAGTACTTACAGAATCAAGACTTTGCATGAACATTATGGAGTTCTTGGCAGCTTGGGCTTTGTTTGGGATAAATGTACATTTGGGCTCATACAGTCTTGTCTTTGAATTTCGCTGGCATTTCCTTGATTTGCAGCTGCCTCCCTGACATTCTTTGACCATGATTCTGCTAGAAACATGAGTGGAACATCTATGATAAAAGAATTGGATTACTTTTGTGGTGCAAGCTGTTGAACCCAGGGCCTGTGCATGCTAGGCAAGCCCTCTACCACAAAGCTACACCCTCAGCCCCAGTTTTGAAGTCACACATTCTGTTTTTAAATTAAACCTAGGCAAGTCAGCAATAAAGACCAATGTTCCGAAGTCTTTTTCTCAGTGACAACTCTGTTTGGTCCTGCACAAGCATTTCATTTTGACAAAAGTAGGCACAGTGATTACCTGTACACACTCTTTGTTTTAGTAAAAACTGTCTTTTCTCTGTATACTCATAAGCAGCCATTGGCTTCTTGATATGATCAATAAATCTATTTCCTCTGTGGTTGTGGTATAAGATAGTAATTTCAAACTTACGTGGATATTATAAAGACTAAATTAGCTAAGGGTTACAGAGGATTTTTTTTTTCAGTTAGGAGAGGAAGTCAAAATATGTTTAAAATCTTAAATTTCTATGTATAAATTATGTGGCTTTAAATTTGGTATAGTAATTTGTAGTTTACATCTTTACAACCAGTAAGCTGCTAAAGGAAGAATTGGAAGGACACAGGCATCAAACCATTGGGCTTCATGACAAAGATAGTTACCAAATCCCTGTCAGAGACTATGAAAAGGACTCTTAAACCTTCTTTATGTGTATAATTTCCCCCTATTCATACTTCATGACATTAGTTCATGTCACAGTTTGTTTGTGTTGCAAGGATAATAGTGGTTGTGATGTCTTTCAAGAGAGATTGCTCCTGGGTTGTCTGCGAAGCCTAACTTATACATGATGAGTCTCAAAGTTTCTGGGCATAGTGCAGGGACACTGTAAATGTGGGTTTAGAGCCTTGTTTTCACTAATATATGTCTTTTTATAACTGATGATATGGAAATGCATTCATTTGTTTAATGTTTTAAATACTTATCATTTGATAATCCTTTGCTTAGTTTTGACTTTGTTAGAGAACTACAAAAACAAAACAAAACAAAATCCATAGTCTCAAGGATCTTCAACTCTATTGGGAGAAAACAAATCTCCTGGTTGGCTAAGGCTGGTTAGCAGAAGTCTGAGAGACGTGCACACATGCTCTCTGGGAACTCTCTTCAGGACATCTAACCTCCAATGAGAGGAGCAGACAGACCAAAAGGAGAAATAGGTAAAGACTGAATAGGCATTATCTAGGCAAGGGATAGTTTTGTGGGGTTGAAAGAGTTGGGGTAGGCGGCCATGCTGAGAGCAGCCCAAGCACAGCACCTGTGTGCAAGCCTCAAGCCAGCTTGACACACCACACATCACAAGGGGACAGGAGTAGAGTGTTCTCTAGCATCCTCCCTGAACTAACTGACATTCTCTCATAGAGTTATTTCCTCCAGACACTGATTCCTATGTTCTCAAGACTTCCTCATTGTTCTAAGTGTTTGCTACTTTGAATTTAAAAGACAAATTAAACACCTTACCAGTTCATACATAGGGTTGAGTAAATCTAACCCTAGAATTGTACGCGAACTACAAAATAGAGAGTGCTGAAGAGCCGTAAAGAGGAAGTTTTAGAGTCAGATTAGGTCACAAGTGATACCTTGTTGCTTCAATAGTGTTCTTTTCGGACATGTAGAAGGGACGGTCTCTGTTATACTCATCAAATACTCCCCACCGGAGATGGGCCCACTCATGAACAAAGACTCTGCCTGAGAGAGAAGATTGTCATCTATAAAGCTGTAGTTGAAATAATTTAAGGATGATTTTCCTTCTACTTTGAATTTCTTGCTCATCTGCTAAACTGAGTTGGAGACCTCTAGAAATCAATATTTTTCATTTGCCCAAAAAAGATAAAATGGAAATGAAACCAACAAATGTCTCATTTAATTATCAACTTTATATATACAACAGATTGATTATAATCAGCATATTTCTAAATGAAGGTATTACTTAATGTTTACTTTTCTTTACATTTTAGAAATCCACATTAATAGTTGTCGTTTGCTTTTTCCCAGTGGAATTATGAAGTATAAAATACATATTTCTACCTTGGAGTCCATACATAGGCAAATTATCAGTCAGTAGAAAGTTTGGAGTAAAATGTATGTACTGTCCTCTATCTCCACATTGTCCATATTGAAGTGTGTAGGGATCATCTCTATTTTTCAGATAAGGATCAGCAACTATGACATCTGCCTACAATGCAGAAGAACAAACCCAGTCAAATTACAAGGGCGTTAGAAGTGAGATTTTACAAACAAGGATCATCTCTTTTATACCCATAAATGCTGTATTACTAGTTTTACTCCCAACACAATTAGCATTTATCAAAATGTATGTATTCATCTGTAAAAGGCACAGAAAGAAGCTTAAGAGAGGGATGTGACACCTACTTGGTCATATGATTCTCGTTTTGGTGTTAAGTACTCCGATTTTGACTTCCAGGTCATTGGGACTAAAATGCTTACATTCCTGAAATAAAATCTTCTTTTGGTGGCTTCAAACAGGTAAGTAGAAGCTTGAGTTACCATTTCCTGATAAAATTAAAAGTGCATTGTGGTAACAATGTCACACAACAAAATTAGCATTAAAGTATGTACACAAACTAGAATTGAATCACAGCCCCCTTCCCTCAAACAGGATAATTTTACAAAGTCTCTTGAACCTGTAAGTTTCTTTCACGTGCCCAAATTCATGGGTGCTTTTTACCTGTAACCTCTTGAGGCCAGCAGTAAAGGTTGGCGATAGGAGCGAAGATGCTGGATCAGTTATAAAAGTAATTAGGATTGGAGGTCTGTGGGAGATGCTTGGAAAACTAAGGAAGGGTTAAGAGTCTAACTTAGCAGTCAGAACCCAGACTACAGCAGAAGGGAGGGGTTGGTAAAGAGGGTCATGGTCAATATCCCTGGCTCCTGGAGCTGACTAGGACAGCAGATCTGCAGTGCACTGGGCATTCTCAGCTGGACATGCAGAAATGGCTGAATTCTTGCTTCAACTTGGAGTGCCAGTAAATGAGAAATAGGAAGCTGGTTGTTCTCCTCATATTGCTGCTTCTGTTGACCTGGATAAGATTATAAAAGTTCTTCTGGGAAAAGGTGAGAAAGTGAATGCTGTCAATCAAAATGGCTGCATTCCTTCTTTTGTGCAGCTTTGACAAACAAGCTGAGATCTCTGTCCTGTTATTAGAAGTTGGGGCTGATCCAGATGCAGATGGTAAACACCGTTGTAAGGACCAACAATGAATCCAATGCACCATCAGCAGCAGAGAGCAACTGAAGACGGCTTTTGCTTTTCTGCACTAGAAAGCTACCACAAATGCCCAAGAGGCTGAGGGTCACACTTCTCTACACTTAGCCTGTGATGAGGAGAGAGTGGAAGAAGCAAGGTGGCTGGCCACCCAAGGAGCAAGTGCATACACAGAGAAGAAGGAAGAGAAGACACCCAGGCAAATGGCCAAAGGTGGCCTGGGTTAGTACTCAAGAGAATGGTGGAAAGTTGAGCGATTTGGATTTATTCTTCATATGTTTTGTCACTAATGTCCTGGGAATTAATGTATTGTCCACAGACTGTCTTGCACGGATGATGTTTTCTCATCCTGAATTTTATATTTTACACAACTAGAGAATTTATAGTTTGGCATATTGTTATACTTGATGTTGACTTCCTCTTTAATGAACACAATATACATAGAGAAGAGATAACTAAAAATAAGTATAGTAAAAATTTCTAATTAGCATAAAGTATAATAAAAGACAAAGTTTTACCATGTGGTAATAATAAAACTATGAAAGGCTGGCTGGTTTCAGTTCTGTCATTTATTTTATAACTATAAATCAATTTCTCATTTACATAAGTGTTAGAATCCTCTGGACCACATCTTAGTGATACTGAGAGAATCTAAGAATAGAGTACATGTGCTATGTGCTAAAAACCTTTTATTACAAGTAAAATTAGAAACAAATCGACTTAAAAAATGTGTCCTGTTTGTTTTCTTTAAGGCAAGATAGGTAAGGAATTTAGGTTTTCTGAAGATGCACATTTGGGAGCAACTGGAGAAAAGTGTCAGACAATAAACTGCTGGAGTTTAAGTGTACATTAGCTGTATAGATTTTGTAAAAGCAACACCATTAAGATAAAATATAAGACCATTTCTCCACTTGCTCTAAAGTCTATTACCTTAGCTAGCTAATAATTTATTAAGAGCTTGGACACTGATTTTAATATATAATAAAAATAGAAAACTAAGCAGATACTCATCTTGACTGTAATAATACTGCAGACATGATGAACACAGTCAAAGAGATTTTGGGAGGGTATAACCTTGTGTGTGTGTGTGTGTGTGTGTGTGTGTGTGTGTGTGTGTTTAAATGCCTAGATAAAAAGAATTATTGACATGCAAATATACAGATAATAAAACCCTTCTCACCTTTATGCTTTGGATGAGTCTTTCATCTTCTGGCACACTGGGGTTAATTGCAATGACCACACCCTCATATCCATTGTTATTCAGATGGACCATGGAGCTTTTCACCTCCTGCAAGAGATGCAGGCTGAGGAACAGAAGGACCTTCAGACCTGACACCATGTTTGCACATGCTAAGTGAGGGAGCTACGAAAGGAGGGTTTTTATGTGTCTGCCTCACTCAGGGATTTGGATCCTGTAGAGTGAAATACTCCTATTCTTGATGACCTTCCTGCTGTGGGATGTTCTGTATGTCAAATGTGTTGCTGATTGGTCAATAAATAAATCACTGATTGGCCCGTGGCCAGGCAGGAAGTATAGGCGGGACAAGGAGGAGAGTAGAGCTGGGAAGTGGAAGGCTGAGTCAGAGAGACACTCACTGCCAGCCGCCATGATGAGAAACAGCATGTGATGATGCTGGTAAGCCACGAGCCATGTGGCAAGGTATAGATTAATGGAAATGGATTAATTTAAGCTGTAAGAACAGTTAGCAAGAAGCCTGCCACGGCCATACAGTTTGTAACCAATATAAGTCTCTGTGTTTACTTGGTCGGGTCTGAGGGGCTGTGGGACTGGCAGGTGAGAGAGATTTGTCCTGACTGTGGGCCAGGCAGGAAAACTCTAGCTACAAATGGCGCCCAACGTGGGGCAAGAGTTTCCACCTAAAACCTGAGAAAAAAGATTCTAAAACGGAGCTAAAAACAGTTCCTAGTTGTCTCTTTCAAGTTAGCGGCAGCCTGCCGGTTTGAGCTACTGGTGGTTTCCTAGCATGCACGCTCGACCTGCAGTTTGGCGGAAATAAGGCCTCTGCAAGCGGCACATTAAGCTGTGTGGTGGATTTAGCCTTTGCTAGTACAAAAAAAAAAAGAGGTTTCTGGGCTACACGCTGCTTTGATAGAAGCATAGACCCACTATTTCTGAGAGTTGATGGCTCCCAGAGCTGTCGGAAAACGTATCACCGCCATGTTGGGAAGCTGAAGTGGGCGGAGCCAGCAGCCACAGCGCCAGCGCCGTTTCAGGCTTAGAAGGCTGCAGTTTAAAGCAATAGGCTCAAGCTAATATAAAAAAAAAAAAGCCACGTAAAGATGGCTACCACACAGAGAATCTGGATTATGTTCTCTTTGATATTCGTAACTGAAGAAAAACATTTGATTAAAAAAGCTGTTGAGTTATGCCAAAATGTATATTTTAAAGGTACCTTGACTTCAAAATTTGGATATAAGGATATGTTGCTTTGAAAAGGAGGCTCTGCTTTTGTTTCCACAGAAAGCCAGAGACTATGGATTTGTTCCAGATTAAGATACATCAGGTTTGACCAGCCAAGACCCCCTGAAAGGTCTCCGATGACACCATGGCCCAGATGATCCAACATCCAGAACCATTTCAAGGCAACTGGCTCAGACGATACACCCTCATGGACTACTCCATAATCCTAAAATATTCTTTGTGTCCCCATAAGATACAGCGCCCCCCTCCAGCAGGAAGTAGTAAGAGAAGCTATGCCCAAATTCCCAAATATACCAAGCTGACTTTGGAGATGTGTAAAGGTTAAAACCTTCCTTTTTAAGAAAACAAAAGGGGAAGTGCTGTGGGATGTTCTGTATGTCAAATGTGTTGCTGATTGGTCAATAAATAAATCACTGATTGGCCCGTGGCCAGGCAGGAAGTATAGGCGGGACAAGGAGGAGAGTAGAGCTGGGAAGTGGAAGGCTGAGTCAGAGAGACACTCACTGCCAGCCGCCATGATGAGAAACAGCATGTGATGATGCTGGTAAGCCACGAGCCATGTGGCAAGGTATAGATTAATGGAAATGGATTAATTTAAGCTGTAAGAACAGTTAGCAAGAAGCCTGCCATGGCCATACAGTTTGTAACCAATATAAGTCTCTGTGTTTACTTGGTCGGGTCTGAGGGGCTGTGGGACTGGCAGGTGAGAGAGATTTGTCCTGACTGTGGGCCAGGCAGGAAAACTCTAGCTACACCTTCCTCATTGGATTCAGTCTACAGACTTAGCTGCTCAATGTCAGTGGGGATTATGATAAACACATTCATTATACTTTCTAAGACAGCTCAGGCAACAGGCAACAGGTATTTACTGAAGTGAGCCCTCTTTGGGTTGTTTGTGTAGTTGTCCTCATGGTTGTGGGTATTCATCATTGCCATGAGCATCACCATCACCAGCACCATTGTCAGACAGCACCTGAGGTCTAAGTCTTTGGTGTGTTTATAGGGAGAGGCGAGCAACTGGGAAGAAAGCACCAGGAAAGAGCAGATGGAAAGGCTTGTATAAAAGAGCACACAACAAAGAGGACTGAAGTGGGAGTGGCGGTGATTTATGACTTTATATTCGTCCTTGAGATGGGAATGCTGTAAGCACAATGCTTCAAAAATGGCTGTGGATCAAATGGAGACTTTCTTTTATTACCTTCCATGATAGCTACCTGTTGGTTTCAGCTTTCAGATGGTATTGAATGTTCCACAACCGTTTGTAACTTGAGAACTTAATATGCTTCACCTAAGATTTCTTTCTCTCTCTCTTTCTTTCTTTTTTTTTTTTTGATTGAATAAAGAGCTTTACAGCTTGATTAGTTGCACAATGTCATTATGAGTTGGCTCAGGAGTCAGATCAATGTGAGCCTGACTCCTTGTCCTAGTCACTTAATAGTCACATATTTCTAAGTTAGGGTTGCATGACTCCTTTTTAAGCTTTATCTTTTCTGAAATATCTGAATTATTATGAGATGTTGGAAACACTAAATGAATTAATCTATAGAAATAAATTCATGCAATGTCCTGACTCCTAAGAAGCCTCAACAAATAGCATACGTTACACATTGTAGGCTATTTAGCTAATCAGCTTCCCTGTTTTCAGGAGTAAGTTTTGTACAACTGTGACTATTGTCTTGTAGGGTTTAATTGGGGTGGGGAGTGAAGAATCTGTCCTAAGGCTGGAGAAAGAACTGTGGGTGCCAGAGTAAAAACTGTAGCTCCTTGGAGTGCGTTTATCTTTAACGATTAGCATTATCTTATCATTGCTAGTCCAAGCAAGATTTTATAGTACCATCTACAAAATCCTCCTAAAGAAACCACTTTCTTTTCTTTGAACTTGCTTCAGCTGTTGTTATTATGTCCTACTGGCCTTGCTTTTGCTGTTTTGACATCCATAATATTTTTCCTTACTAGATTGTAAATTAGTTTGGAGGAAAGAGATTTGTTTTTAGGCTCTCAGCCTCAATTTTGAGACCTGTAAAATGAGAACAGTGATACCTGTAACAGGAATGTTGTGAGGGTTGAATGAAACAACGTGTGAAAGCAGGATTTAGTGGCTGGCACTTCTGCCTTATACAGTAAGACCCTGTTGCAAGCAAGCAAACAAATAAAATAATAAAAGAAAAGAGTGTGTCATACTATTCTGGTGCATAAAAGACTTCAATAAATTAATGTTTATTCCTTGATTTTCCTTATTCTTCTAAGTTCATGGGAAGAAATTAGTGCTTCCTGTGCCTTACCCAGTGCTCTGTCTTCAAGTACAGACATGCGAAAACTCTGGCATTGCCTCCAAAGAGCTCAAAGCCTGGTAAATGGATTAGATTGGACTCATACAGTGTAGCTAGAGTTTTCCTGCCTGGCCCACAGTCAGTACAAATCTCTCTCACCTGCCAGTCCCACAGCCCCTCAGACCCAACCAAGTAAACACAGAGACTTATATTGGTTTCAAACTGTATGGCCGTGGCAGGCTTCTTGCTAACTGTTCTTACAGCTTAAATTAATCCATTTCTATTAATCTATACCTTGCCACGTTTCTTGTGGCTTACCGGTACTTTACATCTTCCTTATCCTGATGGCAGCTGGTAGTGTCTCTCTCACCCAGCTTCCTGTTCTCTCCATTCTCCTCTCTGTTAGTCCTGCCTATACTTCTTTCCTGGCCACTGACCAATCAGTGATTTATTCATTGACCAATCAGCAACACATTTGACATACAGACCATCCCACAGCACTTCCCCTTTTCTTTTCTTAAAAAGGAAGGTTTTAACCTTTACACATCTCCAAAGTCAGCTTGATATATTTGGGAATTTGGGCGTAGCTTCTCTTACTACTTCCTGCTGGAGGGGGGCACTGTATCTTATGGGGACACAAAGAATATTTTAGGGTTATGGAGTAGTCCATGAGGGTGTATCGTCTGAGCCAGTTGCCTTGAAACGGTCCTGGATGTTGGATCATCTGGGCCATGGTGTCATCGGAGACCTTTCAGGTGGTCTTGGGTGGTCAAACCTGATGTGTCTTAATCTGGAACAAATCCATAGCCTCTGGCTTTCTGTGGAAACAAAAGCAGAGCCTCCTTTCCAAAGCAACATATCCTTACATCCAAATTTTGAAGTCAAGGTACCTTTAAAATATACATTTTGGCATAACTCAACAGCTTTTACAATCAAATGTTTTTCTGCAGTTAAAAATCCCAAAGACAACACAATCCAGATTCTCTGTGTAATATTCATCTTTACGTGGCTTATTTTTTTATATCAATTTTACTGTCTCTTTAAAGACTTTATTTTTTAAAACTATGTATTTGTTTCTATACTGTATATATCACCTTTTTTTGTCTCTTTTAAGCCTACGTATATTTTACACACATTTTAAACTATTACATCTGAATCTGTCTTATTGTGAATCTGTTGCTTTAAGCTGCAGCAGCTGTGGCTGCTGGCTCCGCCCACCTCAGCTTTCCAACATGGCGGCAGTATGCTTACCGCCAGCTCTGGGAGCCTTTGTGGGTCTATGGTTTTATCCAAGCAGCATGTAGCCCAGAAACCTCTTTTTTTGTTTTGTACTAGCAAAGGCTAAATCCACAATGCAGCTTAATGTGCCACTTGTAGAGGCCTCATTCCCGCCATATGGCGGCAGGTCGAGCTCACACGCTAGGAACCCGCCAGTACCTCAAACCGGCAGCTGCCGCTCATTTGAGAGAGACAATTAGGAACTGTTTTTAGCTCCATTTTAGAATCTTTTGTTTTTTAGGTTTTAGGTGGAATCTCTTGCCCCACGTTGGGCGCCATTTGTAGCTAGAGTTTTCCTGCCTGGCCCACAGTCAGTACAAATCTCTCTCACCTGCCAGTCCCACAGCCCCTCAGACCCAACCAAGTAAACACAGAGACTTATATTGGTTACAAACTGTATGGCCGTGGCAGGCTTCTTGCTAACTGTTCTTACAGCTTAAATTAATCCATTTCTATTAATCTATACCTTGCCACGTGGCTTGTGGCTTACCGGTACTTTACATCTTCCTTATCCTGATGGCAGCTGGTAGTGTCTCTCTCACCCAGCTTCCTGTTCTCTCCATTCTCCTCTCTGTTAGTCCCGCCTATACTTCCTGCCTGGCCACTGACCAATCAGTGATTTATTTATTGACCAATCAGCAACATATTTGACATACAGACCATCCCACAGCACTTAACTTGAAGAAGCCAATTCAGCATGGTTTCTCATGATTGTCAGGGACCACCCCAGTCGGATATGGTAGTCCCTGGGACGAAGGTCCTCAAAGGCTAGGTGGGTAAGGCTTCAGCAGTGACAAACAGACACTAACACAGAGGCAGTTTGAATCTGAGTGTGTTTTCTAGTTTTTAAGTAAGGATTTTTATACATAGTGAAACAAATATTAAAATTCCTAAAGATGTGTTTAGTGAAGCAATCACGGATAGGACAGATAACATC